GAGCGTCGCGATGCGAGTCACGTGTGTTCTCGAGTACGCGGGCATACCGTCACAAGTTGAGTCTTGAGTCTTGAGTCAAAAGTCGAAAGTCTTGATCAGTATCTGTGATACCTCTTGACTCAAATCTCGAACATTTCAAGGTAAGTCGTGATTCGACTCATCATCGATACCACAGCACACAATCACAAATGTTCTCCAGTCAAAAGTGACGTCTCGTAACTCGTGACTGCGACGACTCATATACCCGCGACGCGACGAATTGCACAGCTGAGTGCTGGATCTAAGAATGGATTCAGAAGTCCCGTCGCGACCCAAGACGTGAAGCGAGCGCTTCCTCATTCGCAACAGCGCACATACACAAGTCACCGCAGGGCGAATACTAGCGCAGTCCTCCACAACGTAGACGTAGTCGGTCTGTGCTGGGCAGCGAACGCACTCAACAGCCCCGCGAACGCATGTCGGGCACCATGGCGTCTTCGCGTCCGACTGCACAGGCGGCGCAGCGCATACACGAGCAGAATGTCCAAGAGCTGGTCATCTGGGCTCCATCGTCTGCAGCTGAAACCGGTCTGCCAACCCTGGACCCTTCCAGCTTGTATGCTGCCAGTCTCTTGCGCTCTCGAGCCTCACTGGCCAGCGATGCGGCGGCGGTTTCGAGCGGGTCTGTTTCTACCGATGGAACATCGGCGCGCTTGGACCGGCTCAGGTGCCCTTCAACGCTTCTTCATCCAGTTGTGCCAGCGCTGTGTCAAGTGGGCAGCGGTCTGATCATCGCGTCAGGAACAGAAGAGATCCAAGAGTCGGTTTTCGCTGCTCTTTACGAATGCTCAACAGAGGATGACAAACGGAGCAACGGCAGCAGAACTGCGACCACCGCTTCCGCCGACCTTCCTCGACCTGTACCTCCTCTAGCGCCTCTCATCTCCCATTCCTCGATTGCAGCTCTCCACAGTCTCGTCGAGGCGGAATTGATACCTTGCCTCCTCTATCACCTCTGGTTCACTTCGCTCTTCCAAGCCTACATCGTCCCAACCTACTCTCAAGGCTTGTGGTTTCCCCGCAGCCGCTCTACGCCTCACAGTCTAAGAACACAGCTCAGACCCTGGCTTAGGAGCAAGTTGAGGCAGCTTGGCCTTGGCGACATGCTTGATGATGGACGCATCGAGAAGGAGAGGGAGCAGGAAGAGCTGATCAAGAAAGCTGGTGTTCAAATGAGGCTGAAGAAGGGTCTGGATGAGAAAGAGCGGAGAGAGGTTCGACTGAAATTTGGTCAAACCAAGGTGAGACGTTGGTGCAGAACCTGTTGAGCGCAACGGACAGCGGCTCGACGGTTTCAAAAGCTGAGATCCTTCTTCCACCATGTCCCTTTTCAGCTTGCTGCTCACGTTGCAAAAGTGTTCGACACACTATCGTCAGCATTGAATGAGCAAGCGTACTTTTCTGGATCAGCACAGTAAGTCCAAGTGTGCATTGCCACTCGAGAGCTACAGGAAAAGCGCTTGCTCACTCTTTCTTCTCTTGTTGCTCTGCTCGCAGGCCTTCGACGCTAGACGTCCTGCTCTTCGCCCACCTCGCCCCTTTGCTGCTCCCGCCGAGCGCGGGCAAAGTCTACGACGCGCTGGAAACGAGCTCCTTGACCTCCCTTTTGCACACCTACCGCAACCTCGTCTCGCATACCGCAAGACTTCGAAAGCTCTTGTGGCCCACAGAGGTGTCTGCCTCGGACGATACCCACAGAGGCGTGAATTGGCCCTTGCTGCCCAGCGATGAGCGACATGCACCCTCAACTGCCACGCATTTGCAAACGGATGAAGGACTCATCTTCGCGACAGGGCACGCAATGGGCAGTCTTTGGTCGAGGCTGCGTACCCTGGCCCTTACGCTTCCTTCCTTGGCCGCTCCCCGACCAACGCAAATTCAAAGAGGCGGCGCAGGGCAAGAGCCAGAGAATGCGACGCAGAGAGCAGAAAGGAAGAGGATCATGCTCGGCAGAACAGCTTGGATCCTCACTGCTCTGATTGGCATTGTCGGCACTGCCTTTGCGAGCGGGCTGATAGAAATCGTCACAGAGGGTGAGGAAGAGGAAGATGAGGATGAGGATGAGGATGAGGATGAGGATGAGGATGAGGATGAGGATGAGGATGTCTTGGTCGAGGTGATGGAGGTCGATGAGGATACTTTGAAAAACAACGAAGGCAGCGCAGCTACGGGCGTTGGGGATGAAGATGATGGAGCATGGGCCACGGTTGGGCAGGAAGTGGGCGGAGAGGATGTTGCCACGTCACACGAGAATGATGTCACCGAGACTGGGTGACGTCCAATGAGAACAAGAGTCTGCCGCCTAAACCGTCCGTGAATGCTTGGTGAAGATGAGGTATATATTAATAATACACGATATGAGGCGTAGCTTGTACATCGCTCGCGCGCGCGAGGTAAGGATATGAGCAAACAGGCGCAGCCGGCCATACGCACGTTCCGAGTGGCTTGTGAAGGACGTCGAACGTCTCGTCTGACTATTGGCTAGGTATTGGGAACGCCCTGTTTGGTGAAGAAGGCCAGCCGTTTGGTGGGGCCGTTGATGCCGAAGGTGGGCCGTTTGGGTGCATGCTGTTGGGATGACCAGCGCCTGGTGCCATTCCAGCACTTCCAGGCATGGGTGGAATAGGGAATGCGTGGTGCATCCAAGGGATGCCGCCAGTCGGAGGAGTTGCCATGGGCATAGCTCCTGGTCCCATGGGAGGCGGCCCTGAGAAACCTGCTGAACTAGGGATGCTGCCTCCTGAATTTGCACCCGGCATCTGCATCGGTGTTCCAACGAGAGGCCCTCCGGCTCCGTGGCTGACGCTCATACGAGCTCGGCTCCTAGGTGTTGCGACGGTATTGTCGTGATTCACAGCAAAGGGCGGAGGTATCGGCAAGGGCATTGGTTGAGTGCCGATAGCCGTTCTGAATAGCTCTCGACACCTGATGAGCCTTCTTCGTCGCGCGGTATATATCCCAGCAAAGTCAGGCACCATTATTGGCAATGCTCGAGTGCTTGCGGTCCGCGATGCATCTCGCAGAGAATGCAGCACACTGTCCAGCTCGTCGTCCATATCTTCGTCCTCTTCTTCTTCCTCCTCAGCATTCAAAACACGCACAGTGCCTTTATCAGTCTGTGCGTCGAGCTTTCTGCCTAAATTGCCCTTTCTCTTTGCCTTGAGCTTTTCCCTTGCTCTTTTTGCTTTCGCTTCGGCATTTGCAGCCAGCATCCTCTCCTTCTCTTCCAATTTTGCTACAAAATTGGGATTATGTGCCTTCTGCCATTCCAACAGCAAGTCATCGTATGGTTGAGATCGTCCTGGAACCTCTCGCTTGGCTCTCATACTGTGTGTCTTGCAAGTCAAGCTACGAGCGCATAGGCCTTTCTCTGTCGGTACCCCGCACTGCCTGTCCACATCGAGGGGCCCAGCTCCTACGTGAAGGCCGAAATGTGAGTGCATGTACCCCAGACGTAACATCGACGCGGAAGAGGGTCCGCGTAACAACTTACCAACTCGCTTGCTCTTGTTCTTGAGCTTGTCCTCCTTCTTCTTGGCGCGCTCAAGCCGACGTTGGGCAGCCTCTGCCTCCTTCTGAGCCTTCTTCGACAAAGGCTTGCCCCCGGCGCCGTTGCGTGACAAGCGTACATCTGCGTCTAGGATGTTATGAAGGATACAGCTCGTTACCATTTTCGAAGGCAGATCATGCAGGCTCAGCTTGCCAGTCATGCTCACCGCTTCCTCCATCCAGACTGCCGCGCCTCGCGTTGAGGCTGTCGATAGGCAGAGCCAGAATACTCGGAGATAATCTGCCCTCTGCCAAGCCTGCAGCGATAGCACAGTTCTCTGTATGGAGTTTGCAGTCGATTTCATCGCTACACTGTCAACGTACCGCGTCGAGCTGGGGTTACGAGGCCAATGGCGCCTGCATGTATGCTCACTTGTGTGAAATACCCAGGCATCTTTGAGAACTGTCCTTCCACAAACGCTACACTTGACCAATCTGATGCGATCATGCAGTGGAGATGGGCCGAAGTCCGTGATGTCGATATCTTCGTCATACCATGCTGGATGGACTGGTCTGAAGGGTGAGGAAGGGCTTGGTGAAGCTGCACGGCGTGATTCAAGAGCGATGTGAGCCAGGCATCCAGTATGCCATGCAATTGATGTTCAAGGCGGCTTGAGCACCTACCAGATATCACCTTGGATATGTCGTCCCAAGTTGGATGGCTCATATTCATGACAGGATGCAGCTATGAGGAGCAACGTCTGGCTGACCACTCGAAGCGTCCTCTACGGTATGGTCGGATGTTCGCTTTGCGCATCCAGACTGTCACTCGCACTTGAGCCAGCACAAGCTGTCGATGCTGTGGTGAGTCGATGAGTCTGGACAACCAGGTTGACAATCGAACCAAACTCGCTGCAGAGTTGGATAGATCGGTATTTAGCCGGCCAAGGTTGAAAGGCGCGGAGATGTGAGGTCGGTCGTGCGTGCTGATCACGAGCATTCGTGATTAGGTTGAACGATCAAGGTGGTTGCCGCGGTAGTCCCGACGTCCAAGATCACACTTCGGCACGTCATGCATATATAAAATCTTTCTTCGACTTTTAAATCTACGACTTGAGACGTAAGATCATCAGTGCTCGATGATTATTGGCTCTTGAAGCCTAGGATTTAAAGCCCCAAATCATCAAGACACTCCCATTTGAAAACTCACATTCAGATACAAGATTTGGTAAAAAGCTCGCCGTTCTTTACTTGGTAGCGACTCCGCGGGGAGCGTGACGCGTAGCGTGCACTGATTCGCGCGCGCGCGCAAGATGGTTGTGTGCATGGCATCAGGACCACTGCATGGCGATCGCTGCTTCGCGCTTCCACGTCGTGAGCTTCGATCAGCGATCGAGCTCGAAGATGGCTCTCAGTGCATCACGGCAAGACTCGTGCTTCGTGGACTCACCATCCCTCTCGAACTTCCACGTCCATTACTCTTGCTCCTCGTTCACATGCACTGCCCCTCAGGATTGCCATTGCCTGCCGAACTTGTGGATACGTCTACCCGCTTCCTGGCAAATGTCGCCGGCCATCTCGTATCTCTGATCCGCGCAGCGCACTATCTAGGCTGCCCTGACGTACAAGGCCATCGAGGCGCACAGAAAGCAGCATCGGCATCTTGGATGCGTCAGGGATCGCACGCCTCTATCCTCCGCTGGTAAGGCGAAGGACTGATTGAGCTCTAACATCACTATGCCTGTGGGATTCGACCCCGTGCGGGATGCTGCGCCCGCCACGAGCGCGCAACGCCAGATATATCTGAGTCCCGAGCTCGGCTCTCGACAGGAATTTGCGTCCTCATCAAGAGCGCAGGATGACTATCATGCGGGGACTGTACATCCGCACTACGTCGCTCATGCGGAAAGCGGCTACGCACGCAGAAGAAGCGCCTCGCCTCCCATACCATCGCCTCGCTCAAGAATGGAGGCAGGATACTACTCTAGCAGGCCAAATCACCAGCGATCACCTGTGCACTACGACTCCGAGGCGGAGACTGAGGGAGTGAGATTGCGAGCATCAGGTTTCGATGCGGTTCGAGATACGAGGGCGTCGCCAATACATCAGCATCCACAGCATGTCCAGGTGTTGTACCAACCAGACCCAAGGCGTGCGGATTCCTCTTCGAGCGTGGGAGCGAGTCCCGAGATACGACATCAGCTGCTTCACCAATCCCACCCAGCGCAGCAACAGTCATATCTTCAACATCCGATGCATCCGCCACCACCGGTGCCTCAACTTGCCCGGACGTCCAGCAACGATTCCCACCACAGTCAAGGGACGCGCAGCTCACTTGGGCCTGCACAGCCGCCCACGGAGCCGCACGGTACACGACGCCCATCGAGGTCGGCTAGCATAGCTGACATGCTCAATGACGGAGAAAGAGGTCCTCTTATCCGCAATGCGAGCGGAAGTAGTGGCTCCGGATCTGCTGAGCAAAGCTCAAATACCTACGGGCATATCGGCTCGTCGCGCTCGCCTTTACCTCCTCGACGTCCTTTGCAGGGATCCCCTGGAGAGAGACATGCGCTTTTGCCGCCACACGACGTGCGGAGAGGCGGGAGTGTGTCCTCCTCTGGGAGCGGTGCCGCCGCGGCTAGCGCAAGCCATCGAGCAGAGCAA